CAACATTGTTATGCACTCTTTCCCGTTGACCCCACTTCTGTTTTTATGGGCAGTGATTCTTGTGAGTAAACCAATTCTGCCACATCAATTATTACCATTCCTACTGAGTCCTGTAATATTAGGACTTTGCTGCCAACTGGTGGTAGACAAATTAAAATGGAGATGGTATTGGCGTGAGTAGACCAAGCCTAGGTAATAAAGCAGGTCAAATAAAACATATTTTATTACAATATCAGCCTCTGCACTGAGAATTCTACTGAAATTGATAAAATTAATAATTTATGTCATGTCAGTATTTTGGATAAATATTTGTAACTGGCAAATTACAATAAGTAGAACCATATAGTGTAGTGTACACATTCTGTGCGGTTTCATTTTATAACTGTACTTGGTCATTTTTCCCCCAGCTTAAGTTTTAAGCAAACTAATTAACCATGACTAATATCAATAGACAAATCAACTCAGATGCTGGAGAAATGCAGATGAGAAATGTTGCACAAAAAGAAACAAAACATACCAAACTAATTCCCAGAAAGTTGATTCTGTTCATCTGGATGTTTAACTGGGACACTCCCACTGAAAAAGCTATGGGCAGAAGAACAGAATCAACTTTCTGGGATTTTCCTTACCTGGATGATTGAGCATGCACCAAGATAACAAAGTAATTGTAATCACTGCTGGATTAAACAGAAATGCAGCTGTGGGGTGGGAGTTAGGTTAGAAGTGAGTGTGCTGTACAAGCCACAGTTTATCATAGCACACTCTGTAGGTGAACCTTAAAAGCAGAATTCCTGAAGCTAAGAGTACATACAGTTTGGGTGTTCCCCAACCCTGTAAGCTGTGTCTTACCTGTACATCTTTAGGCACTTTGTTACTACCAGCCTGTCACAAAAACCCATACTTGATTCCTAATTGTGAAAGGTGAAAGGTGAACCTTTCACAATTAGGCTCCACCCAACAACTGCAATTAGGCTCCACCCAACAAAACAACTCAAACCAAGCTCCACTCCTTGTGGGCAGGTTTGAGTTGTTTTTCTTCCCTTTATAAGCACAGGTGAAAGTAATTAGTGTCTCTTCATTTGAGGCTGGAGTGGTGTGTGTGAGTCCTTTGAGCAGAGCACTGGTGTGGTGGATCTTGATTTTCCAAAGACATAAACCCCATAGAAAATAATATTTTGATTCTGCCACTGTTGGGTCTGGCATTAAGGGTTGTGCTTTATCTTTAGAAGGCCCAATTCATGTGAGAGCCTTGTAGTTGACTTTCTGTGTTATTTGTTGATTGGAAGATGTCTCTGGGGCACAGAAAAGGGCCATTAAAATGATTGTAACAATAAGCTAGTAAGTTGCTCGGAATTGCATTATCAAGCATGGAAAGCATTTATAGGGCCTGTATATGGAGTAAAGCAAATAATATGTCATGTGAAGAATCCATTTGTCTCCTTCATATGTATATTACTATTGTCCCACCTTGTTCACAAAAACAGGATCGATCTTTTATTCTTCAAGGTTTTCACATCTCCAAACATTAGCAACACAGAGGTTACTAAATTGGTGTGGCCAAAGAGAGTGAAAATGTCTGCATATTGTCTGCTTGTGTTGATATGTTTATTTTTATGTGGTGAAGTCAGGTGACTTCCACTGCAAGCAAATGTCAGTATAAATACATAAAAACTATCTATTTATCTTTTTTGTTGTTGTTGCTTTAGTTTCATATTCTCAAGTTCTCTTTCATGCTTTGGTACCAAAACTGCAAAGTCAGTGATGTATCTCTGTCTGAATTCACTGAGCTCCTCTTCTTGTTTTCTGGCTTCCACTTGATTTTTCCTCCTCTTCTCCTCCACTTCTTCTTCTTAGTTTTCTTGCAATATTTTCCATTCTTATTCCCCTGTTCTTTTCTGAGTCTATATTCTTCTGCTCTGTTTTTTCCTGCTCAAAATTGATTGAGCTTTTTCTGCCGTACTTGCTCCTCCAGTCTCATTTGCTCATCTTGAAGGCTTTTTTCCTCCCACTCTTTTTGTTTTTTATTTGCAATTTGTATTTATTTTCCTCTTTATTTTGTTCCCATTGCTATTGTGCTCTCTTTTCCTCATCCTTTTTCTTAATAAGTTCATTCTTCTGTCTTTCTATCTCTTCTTCCTTCTCCTTCATAATCTTTTGGATTTCCTTTTGAATCTCAGACGTGTCGTAGTCACCATCAAAGGTCAAAGCAAAAAGAACAAAACTGCTTTACACTGACATATATTAACATGTCGCAATTTCTCACCAAAATTGCTATATAAATATATAAAATACCACATTTAATGCACCTGATAGCTATCAATAATGTACTTGTAGACTTTTTAAAAATTGACTTTCATGCAAGTACTCACCAGAAGAAGTATGTCAGATGTGCATGTAAATGACAGCGACCACAAGAAAAGCAATTCACATGATTCAGGGGGCTGGGCTTTGTCTTTGTATGACATTCCTATGAATCCATCACTAACTGAATAATTTAATAAGTGAAAAAGAGAAACATTTTTTTTGCAAGATATTTCAATAAAAGTTCATGAAAATTGTAAAAAGAAACATTTTTATTAAGCTTTCTTAATTTGTTTTCATGTATTCCTCAGACCTAATTTGGTAAATAAGCTACATTTCTTGATATAAATATCAAAATTACACTAAAAACAGTTATTATTGATACTGAAATTCAAAATGAGGCTTAATTTTATAACTCTGCTTGTCCATTGGTTATTTTAAGTGATGTAAAGAACAATGCCTATAGTCTGTTTTTGATGTAAACTCAATTGCTAACATATTAAGTAGTCACTAAACAAAAGGAACAACCTAAATCTAATTATACATTTAGGTTGTTTCTCAGTTATACTGAGTATGCAGTATAGTGCTAACCCCTAAACTGTCCACAAACTTTACCTAAAATCAGAGAAGAGAATTGTACCAGTATGATATGTTCAAAATCTGGCTTAAGTAAGTCACATGTAACACAAGTGTTCCCAACTTAAGCCTATTCCTTTCCCTGGAGACTGAAATGTACTGAAACAGTGACTGTGTTCGCCTACAGCTCTATCCTGTCGTTAAGTGATGACGTGACGAATCCTACTTCCGGGCCTAAAGTAGTCTGCGTTTAATATGGCTTTTGTGTTGTTAACATGTTTAATATTATGTATTTTCTTCTATTTAATCTCAAAAAGCTCCTAAAACAGTCAGTGATCACTGTTGACCTCCCTCGGCTTTTATTACCGCTAATCATTTATTTAAGCTCAGTTTTTAAAACCTTAGGATGTAACTACAGCCCATCCCATGCAGCAGTATATGAATGACTAACCTCGTATTGTGGATGGATTATCTCACTTCTTCTCCTGGCTGAAGTTTTTTGGTCCTTTTACAGCATCCTGCCATGCGATTACATTTGTTCCTGACCACCGAGAACATTCACGTTAACTTTTATCGAGTGGAAAAAAAGTTAGCTTGTTTATATTATGCTAACATAGCTGTGTCGCTAGCGGTCACGTAGCACATCATTATATACCAGCTAGCCAAACTTCAGTAACCCTACAAACATCACTGCTCTTTAGTTTTCTGTCTTCATTTATGTTGGAAGTGATAACAGAGCTGTACGTTTTAATTTGTTTCCAAAACCCCGCAGTCAGGACATGCTATATTGTATTTAGATAGAAGCTAGCGAGCTAACTTCCTGCAAACTTCTAACTCCGTTAAATGTCATAAATTCCGTTTTCATGGATGCCTGGATGTTAAACTCAATTGTTACACCTGGTAGAGCAAAACGCTGATCATTTTATTAAAGATGAAAGACTTTAGACAGTTTTTCAACTCTCAGTAATGCCATAGTGATCGTTTGATATATGGTCCTGCAGCAGAGTTTAGGCCCAGACACAACTAGTGACGTCAGACTTAACGACCGGATAGCTATAGAACTTTCTAGCAGCACAGGAGTGCTTTACCATAAGCACAAAAAGGAAATTAAGTCATATGTGATGTAATGTTAGTCCAACCAGAAACAAACCAAACGACTTAATTATTGGTCAGAGCTAAAAGCACAGTGCCTACATTAAATCTTTTTACATATTGCTCATCCTTGTGTGTTCCATAGTGAGTGGTTTTCTTTATATGCTTACACAAGAAAAAGAATATGTCAAAGGCCGTTTTCATCTCTACTGCAAACCATTTCTTGGCAATTAGGAAATTTATATTCATCATGAGGTTTTAATGTGGGACACTGACAATGACTATGTTTACATGTAGAAACGTACATATGGAAACTTGTTTTCTTTTTCTTTTCTTTCAAAGGAAATGGCCTCCATTAAACACTCATTGATGTGATAACTTCAAATGTTGCTCACATCCAAGTAATCATCACTAAAGTGTCATCATATCAGCATATCAATGTAAAAAGTCATAAGATGGAACAGTTTTTTTCTGTGGCTTTCCTCACGTGTTCCTGGATCCACTCATTTATTTCTTCGTCGTGAGCTTTCTGTAGTTCATCAATTTGTTTTGGTTCTGGACTATACCGTTTGAGCTCACTCATTTCTTCTTCTTGTCTCATCTTCATTAGGTCAAAGTCCTTTTGATATGCCTTGTTCCTGCGCAGCTGTTGAATCATTAAATCGTTGGTTTTTTGTTGCTTTAGTTTCATATTCTCAACTTCCCTTTCATGCTTTGCTACCACAACTGCAAAGTCAGTGGTGTATCTCTGTCTGAATTCATTGAACTCCTCTGCTTGTTTTCTGGCTTCCTCTTGATTTTTCCTCCTCATCTCCTCCACTTGCTTTTCTAAGTTTTGTTGCAATTCTCTCCATTCTTTTTCCTCCTGTTCTTTTCTGAGTCGATCCTCTTCTTTTCTTCTGCATTCATGTTCTTTTTTTCTTGCTCATATTCAGCTCTGAGTTTTTCCAGTCGTGCTTGCTCGTTCAGTCTCAGTTGTTCTTCTCGAAGTCGTTTTTTCTCCCACTCTTTTTGTTCGTTCTCCCAAGCCTCTATTTCTTTTTGTATTTCTTCGTTCCTTTGGTTTGCATATGTAGCTTCTTCCGGTTTTGATTTAATTTCTTTCTCTTTCTGTACCCACTGTTGTTGCTGAATTTCTTCCCTCCGTTTCCTCTCTTTTTCCTCTTCTGCTCTCTTTCCTCCATCCTTTTCTTCTCCTCTTCCTCTTTCTTAATGAGTTCTTCCTTCTCTTGCAATGCTTTTTCTCTTGCAGCTCTTTCTTGTTCAATTTTTAGCTGTGCCTCTTGGAGTTTCTTTTCATGTTCTTTCTCAAGGTCCTTCTTCTGTCTTTCTATCTCTTCTTCTTTCTTCTTCATAATCTTCTGCATTTCCTTCTGAATTGCTGCCTCTGTCTGTTTGAACATTTCTGAGGTGTAGTAGCCGCCACCATTTTTCTTCACCATTGACTCAATCTTGGTGAGCAGCTGACTAACTTGAGAGCGGTTACTTGGATCATTGTTATTGAACACATGGTATCGTCCTCCACAATCAGCTGTCAGTTTTTTTAGGAATCCTTCGCTGCCTTCTTCTATATAACTCTCAATTGTTTGATTTTTTAGGTCATCTCCTCTGGTGAATAAGATAATGATGAAATCATTTGAATTCTTGCCAAAAAAGTTTTGGATGAGCTCCACAGTTTTTTTTTCTTCCTCTGTAAAACGACCGACCTGCAGGACGAGTAAGAACACATGAGGTCCGGGAGCCAACATTGTGACGCATTTCACGAGTTCCTGTTTAACATCATCGTTGGACAGACTTGTGTCGAATAAACCAGGTGTGTCCACCACAACAACAGGGTGCCCATTAATCTCTGTTGTTTCTTTTTGGCAGAGCTTGGTTACTGATTTCATACTGGCTTTCGAGTGGAAGCAGTCCCTTCCCAATATACTGTTTGCAGTGGCACTTTTTCCACTTCCAGTCTTACCAATCAACACGATTCTGAGATGATTCTGAATTTCTTTTTGTGGAATCTGTCTGTTTTTCGGAATTTGTTCTTTTTCGGAATTTGTTCTTTTTTCATATTTATTTCAAAATGTATCTTCTTATTCAGTTCAGACATTACTTCACGTTTCAATCCGGGCAGTGGAAACCTTCGGCGAGGTCTTGGAATCATTGTTATTTTGAAGCCTGTTGATGCCTCACCTTTCATCTTTTCTACAGCATCCAATAACTGAGGGATCTGCTCTTGGTCATTGATGTTGAAGACAATGTATCGGCCAAAAAAGCTCTGAACAAGTTCTTGGATTTCTCTATTAGTTTTTACATAGTTAACAACATCTGGGTGTGTAGGATCTGACTCCACAGTAAAAGAATCATGGTGTAGTTGTCAATTTGGGATGTCAGTGTATCTTTGATAGTCTTCACCTCTTTCTTGTCTTCACTGGTTGGAGGATCCAGCGGTAGAACCAAGATGAAGGCATGGACACCCTCTGGATCACAGAGGGAAATACTCTTGAATGCTTCCTTCTTTGTTTCCTCCTGAGGTTTTCCACAGAGAGCAGGCAGCTCCACCAGTGAAACCAGACGACCGCACACCGCAGCCTCATTTTTAATACACTGAGATGATTCAGATTCTACTTTTCTTTCTCCCAGGATGGCATTTGCAGCTGAAGTTTTGCCAACTCCAAATCTCCCAAACAGCACCAAATTCAAAGATTTTAGTTTTTGTCTTTGAGGTACTTCCATACTGGCCTGAGGGTTTACATTCAGTTCTGGGTTTAAAGGAGGAATTAAACGTGGACTTTGCAGGTTTTCCTTATCAACTCGAGGTCTGTCATACAGTTCCAAATTCAAAGAAGAGTTTTGATTGGGAATTTGAGGCTCTTCAGTCCCATGTCCAGATTCTTCTTGTGGTTCTTCAAGTAAGTCAGCAGTCTCTGTATAGTTCAAATGTCCTCCTCTGTTGTAAGCCACAATTTTTTCCATCTCTCCCATCAGTGTTTCACGATCTGAGTCACAGAAGTCTTTTTTGTCAAAGTCCAGTGTGTAATGCATCTTTCTGCAGTTCTGGATAAACTGATCTATTGCTGTATTCTTTGCTTCACCCTTTTGTGTTGTGATGACCATAGAGTATTTAAGGGCTTCACCACCAAACAAGCACAGGATAGACTTCAGAGTGCGTCTGTCATCCTCAGTGAAATCAGAAGGATTGAGTACGAGCAGGAGAACATTTGGTCCAGGGGGCAACGGGCCACACACATCTTCATTTCAAGTTTCACTTTTTCCACAGGCAGACTGAAGAGGTCTGTGGTTTTTGCCACTGTTACAGGTATTTTCTCCATTCTCCTTGGACTATAGATTTCTTCGGTAATGTTAGACGAATTGGATTCTTTTTCCCTGTGATGAAGTTGCTTAGTGCAGTCTTTTCATTATCATTCTTCCCAAATATGACAATCCTGAATTGAGATGCTGTAGAAAACACAAAAACATATTAAATGCCATATTGTTCCAATTTGCTTAGTGTCATAGTTGTCTTTTAATTTTGTGTTTTTTGTCTTGCATTGATCTAGTGAAGCTGTTTAATGATAGGGGTCTTCCTGTCATACAAAAGCTTGCATTTGTTAAGTCTGTATCTGCATTTGGTGTCACTTTAAGGTTTTCATTTCTTTAATTAATTGCAGCTAGTCATGAAAAATCCCAACATGGCAAAAGCGCGGTGATAAGATGTTGAAAAGATGTGTTTGCAGATGTCTAAATAACAGCAATACGTGATTGTTTTTTTCTGTACAGTAAACACAACCCTCGTTTCAATGACCGTTACTAGGTTTACAAAGATTTAATTGATGATCAAATTTAACCCATGGATAACACTCCATAGATACCTATTGCTCTGTGGGACAGTAAGGTTGCACCACTCTATATTGTAATCATTAGTTATTATTGATCTCGGACTCTCTTCCACAACATGTCTTTGTCCTGTCTTCCTCCACTCACCCCACCCAGTCATGGCAGATGGCTGCCCCTCCCTGAGCCAGTTCTTTTGGCAGTTTCTTTGTATTGTAAGGCAGTTTTTCCTTCCCACTGACACCCAAGTGTTTGCTCATAGCGGGTCATCTGCTTGTTTGGTTTCTCTGTTTCTCTGTCTTTACCTTACAATATAAGGCGCTATTAGGACATTGTTGTTATAATTTAGTGCTATATAAATAAAACAGAATTGAAAAGTTCAGAGGGTTCTGGTGAAAAAAAAAACAAGGATCATCAGGGAAAAAAGAGCTGCTAAACACAATGCACACACACACACACACACACACACCACACACACACACACACGAGTAAAGTGTCTTTTGGTGGTCCAAAAATACCTGTAAGCTCACATTCCTGGTGAATGACTTTACAGTGAACTTGCTACTTGGATAATGTGTGGAATGAAAGATGTCAAAGTCTTTCAACTCTTTTGGGAAGTCTTTCAGTGTTTAATAAATATTCAAACTCATGGATCTGTTACTTAAACATCTTTAAGTGTTGCTAGCTTGTATTTACTTTCTCAAATAGCAACCATCCTGAATGCAGGGATATTTTTGGCCATCTGCTGAACTCACCACGTGCTGCCATGTTTTCACCTTTTTGACCTGGAAACTTCAGCTGGACAAAATGTTGGAATCTGTTGGGTTAAATGAAAGCAACAACAAGGGATTAACAATGAACTTGTGACACTATCTATATATATATATATATATATATATATTATATATAAATATATAATATATATATATATATATATTATATATATATATATATATATATATATATATATATATGTATATATGTATATATATATATATATATGTATATATATATATGTATGTGTGTGTATATATACACTCAGCAGATACAACCTTATGAAACAGGAGTGTCTACCTGTGGTATTTATGGGAGTGTTTTCTACAATGAGCTTTTCAGAACCATGAACTAAAGACATTAATTTGATTAGAGTTTGAATTAGAGGTCCTTCTGTATCTGCTCACTGACTTATTAGACTCATTTAACAGGGTGTGTCTAAGGTATCTCTCCTTTTGTTCGTTTGGATGTGGCAGTTTTTCTTTAAATCAGCTGACTTTGTCACACAAGAAGAAGCTAACAAGTGTTTAAATAATGTAAAATGTATTCTTAGATAATACATAAAGTGTTCTGGCATAAAACTATATTTCTGTGGTATCTTGGCAAATGTAATAATTAAGCATTAGTACATGTATATGATGAATACAGTTCAATGAATAATCTCTGACTTAAATGGCTTCAGCATAAATAACCTAAATATCTGAATTACATTTTGAGTCGAATTACATTGACATACTTAAACATGCTGCACTGAAATTGTCCCTTTGTCAGAGCATGTGGTAATACTACTTTTGATATACCTAAGCAAAAATACAATTAAAAGGTTGTTGTTGTTGTTTTGGTCTCTTTACAGTTTAAGGATAACCATTTGAACTCCACATACGTCCATGTATTTTAAATTTTTGTTAAATATACTTTAATGTAAGTACTCACCAGACGACTTCCTCATGGTGTCAAAGCTAATAATGAAGGTAGCACCCTAAAAGGAAAGCAGCTCACGTACTTCACTAAGGCGGAGCTGTGCTTATTATGACAGACAGGTGACTTAACCTATAACGATGACTGACAACTGTGGTACGTCAAGGAAACAGATACTGGATTTTTATGACTGTGACTTTACTTGTTCTCTCTACACTTATTTTTTCAAGTTCTTCCACAACCATAAGGCAAATGTTAGGGGCTCTAAACAAACAAAGTGTGGCAGTAAAAACTAGTATAACCTGTCCACAGGAGGATGTTCATAACTTTAGCCCACGTGAAATGAGAATGAAATGTTGGGATTAAATCTGAAGCATGCAAACAGTCAAGATATGATGCTGCTGTTGTGAAACTATTTCTAAAAGCACAGCTTCAAATGGGCAAAAAATTACTGATACTGAAGCTGAGGCTTCATACACCAATTTATATTTAATTAGTAGAAACCTAAACAGGTTGCCATATACAATTAATTTGGGTCAGAGGGCCCGGTGGCGCCAGTGTCCGGCAGCCTCGCCTCTGTCAGTGCGCCCCAGGGCAGCTGTGGCTACAATGTAGCTTGCCATCACCTGTGTGTGAATGTGTGTGTGAATGGGTGGATGACTGAATGTAGTGTAAAGCACTTTGGGGTCCTTAGGGACTAAATAAAGCGCTATACAAATGCAGGCAGGCCATTTATCTGTGTGTAACTGGAACAAAATAATAATCCCATGTATCCCAAGTATGCACTCATATTGTACCAGTTTTTTGAGTGTACTTCAGTTCAAATAAAATAGTTTTAAGGGTTTAACCCTTCCCACTGACCTAAGGTATTTTATTATTATCCATTAAAGATATATATCAAAATGCATTTGAAACACAGACTCGTCTTCCTGGGTGTCACTGTCAGTGATTTGTAGGTTTCTGCAGCATGTCGTTAGTTGTTGGACTTGTTCTCAGCATTTCCTGTTGGCTTACAGAAATTTTGCACCAAAGCAAGAAAAGAAAAAAATATGCATGTTCAGGTGACATTTCCCGTTTGCTAGTGACATCTGTAGCATGATTTGTTTTGTTTCGATTTTGACTCAACAAGTAAAGTGGTGTGGTTCTCTGAAGGAAAAACAAACCTTGGCAGCACCCAACCGCCCCCCCCCCCCCCCCCCCCCCCTCTCTCGCTTCAGTAATAACGCCTGAAACATGAAATACCTTGTCAAACTATGCACCTGCCCAACCCTTTCCTTTCAATCTGACAATGTTCTGCGTTATCAGAAAGGAAAGAAGTGGTGGAATGTAACATAGTACTTTTTTCTTCTTTTAGTCTCCTACAGTTAGTTATTAT